CTGCATGGGCTGGAGAGTGGGCAGATTCGGGTATGCTGTTTTTCTCTAGCCTTTCTTCTTACTGTTTCTGGTGCCCATCTTTATGTTAGACTATCACTACTGAGAGTTTTTGGCATATGTGCTATTTCTCATCTTTATGCTCTCTGCTAATGCTGGTTTGCATGCCTTTCTCCCATACCTCCTTTACCTAACTAATTTCTGCTCATCCTCCCAGATCTGTTTAAGCAGGTATTTCTTGTAGGAAACCCACCAACTATGATTACACCAGACTGGGTTAGAAATAGTTTCCATGGTACCTATGAGATAATAAAGCATATATGTTGGCCTCTGCCCCAGTTCCTAGCACAGAGCTGCTAAAACCCTTGTAATATCATAAAGGAGTCATAACATCTCTGTTCCAACATTTATGTTTCACCCTATCCCTGATGCAGGTCTCCTAAAATCCTTGTAAATTCCTAAGTGATAAGAACATTTGGAGTGTCTTTTGTTCTAATGAGGTGACTCTGTAGGTTTCTAGATTGGGAAGTCTCTAGGTTCCCTGGTTGGGGACAGGTCACCAGAAAGATCAAATCATAACTGGAAGCTTAGAATTTTAGCCCTGTTCTCCAGAGAGAGGAGGGAGACTGGGGATAGAGTTCATAATGGATCATGCCTATGTGAGGAAGTCTCCATAAAGTCCCATTCACCTGGGGTTCAGAGAGCTTTCAGGTTCATATGCCAAGAAGTAACATTCTACCCAGAGAAAGTATCAGATACCGCAGGTTAAGCATTTAGTCCTACAAAACTGCCACTACCCCTCCTTTAGAGGCCAGTCACAATCAGGTTATCACCTGTGCTTCTGACCAACTACACTTATATAGGCTTCCATAACCCCACTCCTTGGACTTCAAATACTAGTTACAAGGCCAGGTTGTTACCTGTACTTGCACCCAACTGGCTATGACCCCCTCCCCTGAGTTGGATTAATTTGCTAGAGTGGCTCACAGAACTCAGGAAACACTTAGGTTTATTAAAGAATATGATAGAGGATACAAATGAATAATCAGATAAAGAGGTACGTAGGGCAGGCCTCCCTGGTGGCACAAGGGTTTAAGCACAGCATTGTGAAGCTATCTGCAGCCTTTGCAGCACAAGTTTGAGCCCCAGGCAGCCAGGGAGCTATCCACACGGTGCAGCAGACCTCTCCTGTCTCTCCCACTACTCCCCTCAACAGTGTATTTCAGTCAGTCCACCTGTTCTGCTCCCTACTCTGTCTCTGGTGAATCCTCTCACCCCCCACACCTCTAGCCTACACCCCAGCTCTTGTATGTATAAATAAATAAAATAGATCTTAAAAAAAAGTCTTCACCCTGGAACCATCTAGTCTAAGTTCAAATTCTGCCTGTCCTAGTTGGAAACTGTATGATCTTGGGTAACTTTCTCTCTCTGTGTCTCCATTTCAAATAATAGCACCTAACTGTGCTGGTTATTTTATCTGTTTCTTCTTAGTTCAAGTCTACTTATAACAATTCTATGATGCTCCAGGATTTTTGTAAGGGTAATGTAATTTAACATATAAATTGTTGGAATAGTGTCTGGCACTGAATACTGGGTAAACACTTAATGCTAGATATTATTATAATTTAATCTTTACAATTCTATATACTAGCATTTTACTTGTGACTTTTGTATTCATATTCCTTAGAATACTTTTGTAATATCATTATCTGATAAGAAAGCAGGACCTTTATCTATTATTATTTGAACAAATTTGGAAAATTCCTCTTTTTTCCATGTAACTCATTCATATAATATGGAATTATCTCTTTCGGGAATGGTAGGAAGTATTAAACAATGAAATTTCTGGGCCAGATGTTCTTTGATAATTTTGGATCTCTTTCTCAGTGTCCTCAGTTGTTGTTCGATTCTTGCCTTTGAATTTTCCATTTCTTAAAGGAAAATTATGTATGTAATTTAAAATTTTACTCAATGGTTCACATTAATTAGTCTGTAAATTAGTTATGTAAAAAAGTCTCTTATGTTTATTAAATTGCTATGTTCAGCAATTTTAAATTTGGGTGTGATAGATATATTGACAGTCTTGATTGTGGTGGTTTCACATGTGGACATGTTAGGGTTGATTAAATAGTATACTTTATATATATGCAGCTTACTGAGTATGAATTATACCTCAATTTTTATTATTTTTTATTTTTTAAAAGATTTATTTATTTATGAATACAAGAGCTGGGGCACAGACCAGAGACGCAGGGAAGGTGAGAGGATTCACCAGAGACAGAGTGGAGAGAAGAAACACATTTTAGTATAGATAAAAAGAAATGATGAATGCAAGAATTGTTGTTGATTCATTTCGTACCTGATAGTACATTATACAATTTTTTTTATCTCTATTATATTACATTGATATCATTCTCAGGCTGTTCTTTAAATATTAAAAAAAGAAAGTATGGATGTAGATTCATTTTCTTTTTCCAAACCTTTCTTGTTTTGTGGCTAGGAAAGTGGAAAGATCTGAACGCTGTCCCATACCACAGAGACCCTTGGGTGTGATTTAGCTATGGACTGAGATGTAAGAATTGAACTAGAAACAGAAAAAACCAAAAGCTTCCTGAGAAGGTACATCAGGAGTTGCTGGAAGAAGTTAGTGTGAAAAAGCAGAGTGTTACCTGAATGTCTTTATAATCTACCACTTTGCCTATGCAAGAGTGAAATCCCTTATGATGGAGATAATCTGCAAAAAGGTTCTGAGACACTAGGGCCAGGCCACTTTGGAGATGGATCAAAATAATGACCCATGTCTTTCTACAAAGTTAATTGGGAGTTTTGGTATTTAGAACCTGGGATTCAAACTCTTCTTATGGAATAATGAGTTTCCAGCTTTGTTATATCAAGGAAAAGGTCTTGCTATTTCTTTTTTTTTCCTTTTTTAAAAAGATTTATTTTATTCATTCATACAAGCACTGGGTACAGTCAGAAGTGCGGGAGGGTGAGAGAATTCACCAGAGCCAGAGCGGAGAGCAGAACAGGCAGACTGACGAAATACACTGCTGAGGGGAGCAGCAGGCGGCAGGAGAGGTCTGTGTGCCATGTGGGACCCTCGCCTGGCAGCCAGGGATCAAACCAGTGCTGCAGAGGCTGCCGGCAGCTTCACAACCCAGCGCTCAACCGCTGTGCCACCAGGGAGGCCCAGGGGTCTTACTATTTCTGAGGCTGTTTAATGCTATTTGCTTAACCCAAATCAATCCAAATTTATTGATCATTCTGGCACAACTTTTGCCAGGCACGAAAGTGTGCATAAATGCATCTGATGTGGTCCTTATCCTTAAAAGAATTCAGAATATAATACAAGAGGCAGACAGCCCAGTGAGGAAGCTACTATTTTTATACCCTCATTTTACACAGGAGGAAACTGAGACAGAAGTTAAGTATTTTCCCAGTCTTACATAGCTAGTAAATGGCAGGACCAGGATTGAAACCAGCACAGCCTAGCTCTAGAGTCTTTGTTCTTAACTTCATACTGTAAAGCAGTTGTTCTCAAAGTGTGGTTCCCCCAGATCAGCAGCAGTAGCCTCATCTGGAAACTTACTAGAAATCCACATTCTTGGGTCTCACTCAAGATATACCGAATCATTCATTTTGGAGGTGGGGTTCAGTAATCAATATATTAACTGCCCTCCAGGAGATTCTAATGTCTGCTGTTTGAAAATCTCTGCTAGAGAGAAGAGAAGCAAGGCATACTATGATAAGTGTCAGAAATTAATCTCTGCATGGGTAGGGATTAGGTACGGTTTATCTCCATGTTCCTAACCCTCTGCACAGCCATCTAGTGTAAAGTAGGCATCAAAAACTATGAATGAAAAGATGGGACAGTGATGCTTGAGCAGAATCTCTCATATTTGTCAACTGCAGTCGACAGAATGTGAAACTAGCAAGTGATTATACTTTGGGGAAAGATGATAAGGGTCTGCACCAGCACAAGGAGCCACCAGAATGGCAGGGGAATTGTGAGAGCAGTTCAGGAGGAGGTGTAGATGTCAAGACTCAATAATCAGCTGAATGGGAAATGAAACAAGGGAAAGAGAAGTCATTTCTGGGATGAAGGTGTCATTCTCAGAGGCAGGAGGCATAAGAATAGCCGGTTTGACGGGGAGAGGGAAAGACTGGTTTTGGACTCGCCACTTTTGAATTGCTGGTAGAGTATCCAGGTGGAGCTGTCCAGCAGACACTTGGAAATATGTGTCTGAGACGTGGCTGGAAAGAGATTTGAACTATAGTTGAGCCATAAACCTTCAAGGGGAAAGTGGAGAGTCGAATGAGAAGAGAGCTGTGGTTTGAAACTACAGCGAACAGTTATTTATTTAATGGGGCAAAAGCAAGAGGCGACCCTTGAAGAAGGCTGAAAAGGACTTACATAATAGGAGGTCTCAAAAATATTGAAGCCAAATAGAAGGCTCATGAAGAAAGGAGAGGCACACTATTAGATGCTACGTACAAATAAGACTTGAAAATCCCCTGAATTTCAACGCAAAACCTTTTAGGGACGTGGTGAAAGCAGCAGCAGAATGACTGAATCCAGAAGCGAACTGTAGATGAGAAAGTGGAGGCAGGTGCTTCCCAGGTCCTGCAGACAGAGCTTCGCAGACGCACTTAAGTTGAGACGTGACATCTTGGAGGGCAGGGAGGGTGGTTGTCATTTGTTTGGTCTCCGCGCCCAGCATGCGACCTGGAGAGAGCGGGTGGCGTCAGCGAGTTGAGTGACTGGGGCCGGAGACAGGCTTCGCGGAGGCAGGCGCTTCGCAGCCAGGATTGAAGCATGAGGGTGATAGGGAGGCGAGGTGGGCCGCAGGGACCCGGGGTGCTGGGGCGCCTGGAGCCTGTGAGGGGGTAGCTGGGAATGAGGTGGGGTGCCTGCGCCTGCGAAGGGGGGAGGCCGTGCGTGGGTTTGGGGTGAACTGGGGGAACGGCCCAGGGCCGCAGCCTGCCGCGGGGGTGTCTCCCGCCCAGCCGCATTCGCGCCGCCGAGCTGCTCCGCGGCGCGTCTCCCGGGAGCCCTCCCGCCGGGCTGCACGGCGCCGGGTGACCGCCAGGGGCCGCTGCCGCGGGTCCCGGGCGCCCCCGCCCCTCTCCATTGGCCTTTGTTGCCGTCGGAGCGCCCGGCCTGACTCGTTCCCGTCCGCCCCCTGGGCCCGGCGGCCGCGCCTGCGCACTGGCGTCTGGCCGGCGCTCGCGGGGGGAGCTGCTGCAGGCTCCGCGGCGGCGGCTACGGAGGCTGCGGGGGCGGCGGCGAGCGCGGCCGGGCTTGGGGGGGGGAGCCGAGCCCGGCCCGGGAGCCCGAGGAGCTAGAGGGAGCGGGGTGCCTGGGCCCCTCACGCTGGACGCCGCAGTCTCCGGGCCGCCTGACCCCCGCACGGGTATATGGGATGGAAGCGGGACCCTCGGGAGCAGGTAAGGCCGGGAGGCGGGGGCGCGCGAGTCCCGGCGCCGAGCGGGGGCTCCGCGGGCGGGCCCGGGGGGCCCGGGGGCGGAGGCCCCGTGCGGAGGGGTCGCGTGCAGTTCCGGGGGCGCCCCGGGAAGGGAGCCCGGGAGGAGGGCCGTTTTCCTCGGGAGGCTGTGTGCAGCTCGGGGAGTCGTCCGCGAGGAGGGCCTGGCGCGCGGGGGACCCCGGGGACCCCGCGAGGCCGAGGGGGCGGCCCGGCAGGTGGCAGGGGCGGGCGCCAGGTGTCGGGGGGGCGACACAGATGGGCCCAGCACTGCCGCAAGCCGGGGCGGGGGCTCGGCCGGCCGGGCCGGGCTCGGCGGTGGCTCTCGGGGGACGGCGCCGGCGCTGGGCTGCGAGCTCCGCCCCAGCTGGGCCTGACGCGGGGTGAGGGTCAGGGGGCGGTGGGTGGGGACCCGGCCCCGGGATTTCCCCCCCGGAGGACTGGGAGCTGGAGCGGAGGCGCCAGAGCATGCGCGGAGGTGGTGGCTGAGGGGCTGCCCGGGCGGTGGGGGCGTGGCCGCCCGACTCCCCCAGCCCGGCTTGCTTGGAAAGAGCGCGCTGCTGGGGTGCGTGTTCTCTCCGGTTATGCTGACGGGGCGCAGATGGAAGGAGAATGGTCCTCTTCCCCATCCGGGGCTCTGAAACCCCTCAGTAACTGTTTGCCAAGAATGGGTTGAGGAAGACGGCGAAAGTGCCTTTTTCTGCTGCTGGAATAAGGAAAGACAGACCTAGGCTATGTTCTGGGGACGGAACCTCCCCTGGGGATACATCTTAGAAAAGGTGTCGGCTAATGGGGGGGCCGAGGCTAGGGCCGGGTATCCCTGGAAGGAGTTGTCTGCCTGGTCTGCATGTTTCTGGTTCTGTTCTGAGTAAAGATGGGATGTTTTTTTAATCCAAGAATAATGACCTTGCTATTGAATTGTCTCCTAAAATGATAGCCTGTTTCTATATGTTCATTTTTTTCATGTCTCCTGTCCCTAGGTGGTTATCTTCTCTTGCCTCTCTCTACTCAGAAACTGTCTCGAACCAAGTCTTTATACCCAAGGCTGTCAAGCCTTTTGTCACAACTTTTTTGGGAAGAGGGAAAGTTTATAAGCCTCATCCTGGTAACTTCAAGGTGATAGCCTTAACTCATTCACAGGTGATCAGGGGAAAGGAGATAAGAATGGGAGAAACTGAGGCCCTAGAAGACTGGAGTTCCCAGGATGGACTGTGGGCTGGTAGCACCTCCTGTGTCCTAGATCTCTTGCCCTTTGATGGGAGGACCCAAGTCTGGACCCAAGAATCCTTTAGGTTACCTCTCACCATCTCCTTCCTTTTAATCTCTTGGTAGGAATAGATTTTCATTACTTTTCTTGTGGAAGAAGCTTGTCTTTTATATCAGATGTCTCTCTCTCAAGGAGATAGTTTCTATCAACTCATACTAATCATCCTTTCAGTGATCTATAACCGTTTTGTGACTACTTTCCCCCAAAGCAAAAACTTGCCGAGACTGTGTAGCTCCTAAGGTAGGGAGCGTCTGATTTCACAAAATTACTTCCTCCTTCCCTCAGACCCTTCTTTCTTTAGATTTCAGGAACTCTGCTGGTTTTCTAGGCTAAACACTGTTTACAACAAGCTGTAGACTAAAGTAAGGATGGGTCACAGAGGTCCAGATGGATTGCTGGGAGCTGGTACCAGATTGCTAATGATTTTATTCTGCAGAATTCCTGATAGACTCTGGAGTGATGAAAAAAAAAATGGACCTTTTTTGTTGGTTGTAAGAAACAAGCTTCAAGGGAAAGGACTTGAATCTAGTATCAGGAGTTGACTGTAGCCCAGTGGGATAACCTTTACATCATCACAGTGTAATTGTGAGTGAAGCTGTGGATAGAGGGACCCCATCACTGCCTCCTTCCTCGTCCCAGACTATTCTCTTGGAAGCTGGAGGACATAGTACACAAAACTAAGGTATTGTTTCTGGCTTCATTGGGCTTATGCCCAGATGTGGCTTCTGTGCTCAGATGTCTTCCAAGCACATATTCTGGACTGGGAGCTCCCTGAGGATAGAAGCAATGTTTGATTTATCTGTGGAACTAGTGAGTGTCTAGGCTCTGACACAGAGTACACACTTATTGATTGAATCGAATCACACTCCAGTGTGAACATAAATGGTTAACCACATACGTGCATATTTAATAATTTGTGTATGCTCAATGTGTGGCTAGATTCTTTTTGCAAAGATTGGCCTATTAGTTTGCTTACGCAGCATCCAGTTAGTCTTTTGAATAGGCAGTCTGGCTCTTTGAGAGGTATGTTGGCCTCAGAACTGCAGGGAAGGAATCCCTGAGCCAGGCTTTTCAGCTCTGTTACTTTTCCTTCTCTGGGCTGGTTGGGAATGGGGGAGGGGGAGTGTCCTTTTCAGGGCCCCTCCCTCCTTGCTTTTGTCTGCAGGGAAGGGCCCGCCCATTTCCCCCTAGGCCCAAGCTTTGTCCTCAGTGCTGGGGCCCTCATCTGCATCACAAAGTGGCCGTCTGTCCCTGTCTGGGTTTGAAGGGAAGTGTCTCCCTTTCTCAGACTAAAAGCTGGGAGTAGAGTGGGCTAAGGGGGGTACTTTGTACAGCTGTAAGGCTTGCAGGAGGGCGTGACTGGAGAGCGGTTCCCCCTTTCTCCTGCTTTCCCTAGTTTGGAGATGGAGGGGAGGGTGGGAGTTCTCCTGTTTTCTCAAAGCCTTCTTGGAGTGGTGGATGCCTAAGGCTAAGTCTGGTGTGTAGTCCAATTTCTGGGGAAGAGAAGGCGTGAGGCTAGAATGTCTGTCCCATCACCCATCATTTCTACCCAGCCCCCAATTCTAGGGGATTTCTTTCTCTCAAGGCTCCAAATGATTGTTCAGACAGGGAGGAGAAGAAGGTGAATGGAATATAAGAACTTGGGGAGGGAATGGGTATCTCTTATTAGCTACATCCACCAGGATGCATGTTTGTCTTATGTAGCATTTATAATTCTTTCTGGGCAATTTGCAGGTGGTTGTGTGCTTGTGTAGGTTCTTTGTGGTATATCTGTGGATCTGTTCATTCATTCATTTAATATCTTTACTGAATACCTCCTGTGTGCTAGTCACTGAGATTTAACAGTAATCAAAGCAGATATAATCCCTGTCTTTGAAAAACTCACAATCTAGGGTGGTGAGGGGAATGCGTAAAAAGATAAACTGTCTAGGTCTTAGTGTGTTTGGATGTGTGTGACAGTACCATATCCTGCTGTGTGGGTGTGTCTGTCTATGGCTTATGTGCATTTCTGTCTAGCTCCTTCTGGGGTGGGTGGTCAGATGCTAGTAGCTAGGCTTTCACCTCCACAAGTAGCTGAGTCCTGAACGTCTTGAAATCCTATTTCCCTTTTCCTTGCCGGTGGAGTAGGGCTGGGTTTGAGGTGGTTAGGAGACATGCCAGCTTAACTCTGGGAAGCATTCCCTCCCTTGAATGATTCTGACCTCTTCCTGACCCCCCAAGCTGAAGATATGCCCCATCCCCCCATCCTGGCCAACTGTGAAATCAGAGCTCTGGTGATGGGAAGGTTCTGAGCTGGCTTTTCTCTCCTCCCACCTGGGCAGGTCCTCTAATGGCAAGGATAAAACTGTGGACAAAGACGTCTCTTAGGCAGTTTCCCAATTTCCTCCCTTTTTCTTCAAGCAAGAAAATAAGATTAGGGGTAGCAATCTGGCTGGAGGTAAGAGAAGAGAAAGTAGTGGGAGATGGCTCTCCCCTAGTCCCAGTGCCCCTCTCGATGTTGACAGCTTCTGTGGACCTTCTGTGGAAGGAGCTATGGAGAAAATCTTAGCATCTCCTTCCTAGAGCCAGCATTTCTTCCTTCTGCAGCATTCTTACCGCTCCTTCTCCTTCACATTCTTTACCTAGCCTCCTCGGACCTCAGTCTCCTGTATTCGATTTGTTTTCATTTCCTGGTTTTTTTCCTCTTGCATGTTTTTCTTCATTGTCTTCCCAACTACAGTACTGCTTCTTACCTAGGCTCCCAACTCTAACTTACCTTGTCTCAGCCCCTAACTCCAGCCTTTCCTTTTTCCCTGCTGTGACCTCTGCTTCTAGCCTCTTCACCAGTTTCCTACTTCAGCCTCTCTCTTTAGTTTCCAAACTCTATTCTTTTAGCTTTTTCTATCTCTCTACCTTCAGGCATTCAGTTGTTTGTTTTTGTTTTTTTTTTTTAAACATGGTATTTTTTTTTTTAAGATTTATTTATTTATTTGTTTGTTTGTTTATTTATTTATTTATACAAGCACTGGGTACAGTCAGAGTGCAGGAGGGTGAGAGAATTCACCAGAGCCAGAGCGGGGAGCAGAACAGGCAGACTGACGAAATACACTGCTGAGGGGAGCAGCGGGTGCGGCAGGAGAGGTCTGCGCACCATGTGGGACCCTCGCCCGGCAATCGAACTGGCACTGCAGAGGCTGCGGGCAGCTTCGCAAACCAGCGCTCAACCGCTGGGCCACCGGGGAGGCCCAGCATTCGGTTGTTTTAATCCTTTCCCAAACACTGTGCTACTACTCCCCACACCACCAACTTGGCCTTCTTTGGATCTTACCCTGCCTGCATTGCAGAGGAGCATCAGTGCTTGTATAAATAAATAAATAAATAAATAAATATTTAAAAAAAAAAA